ATTCGTGTAGTTTGTGAGACCATTCGTGTCTCATTTGTAATCTTTTGGAAACTTATTTGGTTGATAGTGGAATCAGATTTCGATCCCGTGAACGTACCTCACATTGAGGGAACCACGTAAAATTCTTGTGTTGCGTTTGATTTAATCTTTTCGCATTAGTTTTTATTCCTATTGATTGATTTACTTGTGGGAAATCATATATTTTCCCTAATAAGTATGTGTTAATCAGTCCTTGACTCTAACAAATACATTAAACAACCAGTGTGCTATGATACTTTTTGCTTTTACTTCATCTTTATTGATATATGTTCTTATGTAATACAAGTTTGAATTCATTAATAAAGTTTTTTTCTTACTGATAAAAATAAAAAATAAAAAAATAAAAAAACCAGTGTAGATGCTTTTATGCTTTTAAGTATTGTACAAGTGAGTGTCATAAGCACCCCACATCAGGATTTGAGAAAGTAGTAATTATGCAATTTTTATATTTCTCATTACATATATTATGAAGGAAAATGCCTGGTAGCTCGAAGCTACCAGGCTCGAAAATGGCTCGAGAGGAAGAGAGGGAGAGGGAGAGGGAGAGAAAGAGAGAGAGAGGAGAAAGAGAAGGGAGGGAGAGGAAGAAGGTCGGCGTCGCAGCTCCCCGCCCCGCCGTCGTCGCAGCTCCCGCTGTCGTCGTAGCTCCCGCCGCTGCCTCTGCTTCCTCCTCCGTCGCAGCCCCGCCGATGTCACAGCACCACCGTCGTCTGCCCAGCCTCCCCTCTTCCTCAAACCGATTTTTATGGCCCCCTCCCCTCTCTCCTACTCCTCCTCCTCCTCCTCCCTTCTCTTCTTCTCCCTTCTTCTTCTTCTTCTTCGTTCTACAAAACCAGGGAAGAAAGAAAAGAAAAAAAAAAACAAAAACAAAATTGACACCAAAACGACAAAAAAACAAAAAAAAACAAAAAAAAAAACAAAATCAACACCAAAACGACGTCGTTTTGGTGTCGAGCCACGTTTCGAGCCGCGACATTCGAGCTACGTAGCATGATCGTATTATGAATGAGACTCTACACCACAAAAATGAGGATAGATACAAAATAGCTTCTGTCAATACATCAAGTAACGTCTTCTCTTTTTGTATCCTCTATACTTTCTCCATTGCAAATTGTTTATCCAATATAAAAAAAAAATTAAAAATAATATATTCTCATACTAATTTTTTTTTTTAAAAATCAACTAAAAGATCTTATCAAGTACTTTTAATTTGTAAATTTTTTTATAAAAATTTTGACACAAAAAATACAAATTTTAAATACTTACTTTTCATAATTGACAAACAATTTGAGACGAAACACATATATAATATCTGATTGGGGCCTTTTTAAGCAATTACATAGATAGCGAGTGTTAACACAAAATTAAGGGGCAATATATGCATGCCTCACACTTTCCCTCCCTGGATATATTTATTTACATAATAAATTCTGATAATACAGTTACGATACAACGGGTCCCAGGTGGAATGGGTCGGACTAATCCACACTTCTTCAACAGGTAACTGAGTGTTCAAGCCCACCAGAGAACCTGCACACAAGTTCAACAGGGGAACGAGGAGTCCCCCAGTGAACCCTCCGACGAGCAAGTTAGAGAGAGAGAGAGAAGTGAAAAATGTAGAGATATGAATTGGAGATAGAAAACTTAACCTTTTTCTTATCTTCAACGTCTGCTTATATCCTTTGGTAATCATTTCGCCGTCCCTTCCGACCTGCCACCTTGGCCGAAAGTCTATGCTGTAGCTTACCTTGTTTAGGGTGAGGGGGTGTTATTCCGACGGAGAGGTGTTGTCGTAATAAATGCTGTGATGGACTGCATTAATGGCGATGTGCAGTGGCAATAACTTTGTAGGTCTTTGTTTGCTGATGTGGCTTGTCCTTTACCTGCCACATGTCTGAATATCATTGGTTCTTCGTGCCATGTTGGCTTCTAGCTGTTCAGGATCTCATCAGTTGGGTTATGTGTTGGGCTCTGATGGGCTTGGGTTGTTCATAGTGGGCTATGACCTTTGTGGGCCTAACCACGTCAGTAGTCCCTCAGTCCCAAGTGCAGCTTTAGCCCAACGAAGGGAATACTAATAGAGAAGATGATAGAGATATGAATTGGAGATAGAAAACTTAACATTTTTCTTATCTTTAACGTCTGCTTATATCCTTTGGTAATCATTTCGCCGTCCCTTCCGACCTGCCACCTTGGCCGAAAGTCTATGCTGTAGCTTACCTTGTTTAGGGTGAGGGGGTGTTATTCCGACGGAGAGGTGTTGTCGTAATAAATGCTGTGATGGACTGCATTAATGGCGATGTGCAGTGGCAATAACTTTGCAGGTCTTTGTTTGCTGATGTGGCTTGTCCTTTACCTGCCACATGTCTGAATATCATTGGTTCTTCGTGCCATGTTGGCTTCTAGCTGTTCAGGATCTCATCAGTTGGGTTATGTGTTGGGCTCTGATGGGCTTGGGTTGTTCATAGTGGGCTATGACCTTTATGGGCCTAACCACGTCAGTAGTCCCTCAGTCCCAAGTGCAGCTTTAGCCCAACGAAGGGAATACTAATAGAGAAGATGAGGAGGACCGACTGTGATGGGTGGCCGAGTGGAAGGGCCGACCATGAGGAGGATTGACCGCGAAGGGTGGCCGAGTAGAAGGACCAACCATGAGAAGGACCGACCACGAAGGGTGGCCGAGTGGGAGGGCCGACCATGAGGAGGAACGACCGCGAAGGGTGGCCGAGTGGATGGGCCGACCATGAGGAGGACCGACCGCGAAGGGTGGCTGAGTGGAAGGGCCGACCATGAGGAGGACCGACCGTGAAGGTTGAGGTAGGGGGGCGCGGGGCTCAAGAGGCGGCGTGTCACGTGATGACTTGAAGTGGAAAAGACTGGGTAAGGGGAGGTGGTAGTGAATCGTGATCGTACACGTGGTAGCATCTCGTGGGGAGGGAGATTAGGCGTTGGGCCAGAAATGAAACGATAGGTCATGATGGGTGTTGAAAAAACAGTTTTGGCGGATGTTTTGAAAAGTTTTCAAACTGGCGAAAATTAATTGTGACCCTTGGAATACGGGCAAGCCTTGGGCTTTTGGTATTATTCGATTTACCTACTTCTTTGCAAAAAATCAAAACATTCCAAGTGTTAATTCCTTTGTTGCTGACGATACACCTCTGCGACATTTTTTGAATTTCCTTGCTCCCGCATCCGAAGCTATTTGTAGACACACCACAGAGATGGCCCAAGAAGAAGCTGGAATCGCCAAGGTTGATCCACTTGGGGATGACGATGCGGTGGAGTTGGCAGAGCAGTACAAGGCAGAGAGGCAAATGGAGAGGGTAGGGAAGCCGGCGGTACGATCTCATTCTTCCACCATGATGGTGGCCCCAACACCGATAAGCTAGGTGGAGCCAGATCATTGGCATACAAAGGCTGATAAGTAGATTATTACTACGAAAGAGCTGGAGGGGATGCGGGAGAAGTACCAGATCCCCGCAGAGATAGAGTTGAAACTGCCGGAATCAAAGGAGAGGGCGTCTAATGCTCGACTGGGGGAGTTCGCCCTGTACGAGGAGGCGCTGAAGGGAGGGTTAAGGCTGCCCCTCCCCTGGATAGTGGTGGGTGTACTGAACCGGTTGGAGGTAGCCCCAGGCTAGCTAATGCCCAACGTGTGGAAGATCTTGCTGGCTTGTGAGAGTGTGTGGCCGAAGGCGAACGGGGGGGCTGAAATGACAGTGGATGAGTTTTTTGCGTGCTACAAGGCGTCAGGGCAGCAGGAGACTTGGGTTACCTTGCAGGCAGCAGCAGGGAAGGGGTTGGTGGCGAGGCTGCCGCCGTCGATCAAGGGGTGGAGGCCGCGGTGGTTCTATGCGTCCGCCAATGGAGGGGTTGGGGTGCGTACAGTTTGGAAAGTACCCACCAAATCGATGGAGCCAAGACTGGGGACAGCAGCGGAAGAGAGGGTGAAGAGAGTGAAGGAATGGCGGGAGAATGAGGGGGCCAAGTGGGACGAGCTTGTTCAGCGGTCAGCCTTGTTTGCGGCAGGGTTGGGTCCTCAACCGAATAGTGGAGACCTCGACCGGGCGGAATTAGAGGCGAGAAGGAAGGCACAAGAGGTGGAGGATAAGACCATCCTCGCCCAAGCCAGTAAGTTCAAGGAGACGCAGGAAGACCGACCGTATAAGCCGATCGCGCAGGAGAGGATCCGACAGTGCCCCAAATCGCTGGGGGAAAAAGACTTGGGTGAATTTGAGCCACGACCGCCCCCGATTGATCCTTTGAAACAGAAGGCCAAGGAGATGGGCAGTGTGGGGAAGAAGAAAAGAAAGATGAGGAGGAGTAAGGGGGAGCCTGCCTTGAAGAAGATGAGGGAAGTGATGGTAGAGGAGACCCCCATGGCCCAGGAGGCAGAAAATGAGGGAGTGGGGGATGCCTCAAGAAGGGTGGTTGCCTCAGGAATGGTGGAGGTCGCCTCAGAGGTCGTGGAGGTCGCCTCAGAGGTCGTGGAAGTCGTCCCAGTAGTGGTGGAGATCGCCCAAGAAGTTCAAGTAGAGGGTGGGGCAACTGGTCCTGAGCCAAGGGTAGAGGAACAGCCCCAGAGGGGTCCTGCGCCCCAAGGAGGGGGGGTCAGGCTGGCGATTGCTATCTACCACGCCCGCGCGGTGTTTGGGCGGTTAGAGGGAGAAAAAGGCCCAGCCAGGGCAGCTGCAGATCGCCTTGTGGGGATAGTGGATGATGCAGACGTCCGCTCGGTGGCCAGGTTCAATGAGGCTGAGCTACTAAGGGGGTTATGCTCTGCCCAAATGAAGGTAACCACCTTAGCTGGGGCTCTACTGAGAAAGGCGGTGGCTGCAAAGGTTAAGTTGGATGAGGCCAAGGCTCAACTTGCAAACTTCAAAGGGAAGAGTGCTGGGTGAAAGAAGATTGCGCGAAGCGCGTGCTTCAGAGGTTGGCAGGAAGCTGAAAAAGCTAAAAAGATGCAAGTGTTGGCCATTGTTCACCGCAATGTTGCCGACCGAGCCCAAGCTGAGCTGATCGCGGTCAAGTTGGAGCTAGAAGACGAATGCCGCCAGGTTGTGTCGCTCGAGTTCCAGCTGGCTGGCAAGCAGAAGAAGCTGGGAGAGGCTCAAAGGGCCTGTGCGGTCGCCATTGAGCGGCATGAAGAGTCTATGACCAACAATGAAGAACTGTGCGCCCAGCAAATCAAAGAAAAGAAAGAAGCAGACGTGAAGATTAGTAGGCTGCAGAAGGAGCTGGAAGACGAGCGTGCTAAGGCAATGGAGGAGAGGGCGAGCCTGCAGAAGGAGTTGGAGGAAGAGAGGGCCAAGACAGCCTCTGAAAAGGCGAGCCTACAGAAGGAGTTGGAGGAAGAGAGGACCAAGGCATCCTCTGAAAGGGCAGCATACCCCGATTTGTATGTCGCAGCAATAGAACAATTCAAGGGGTCTGCTGAATTTCAGATAGCGATCGATGCCGCGGTCGCCAGCAGCGTGGCGAGGGAGGTGTCTGGGGAGGCGGGCTCGTCGGGAACGGCGGCTGGAGGCAGGACTGAAGCGGGAAATTATTGAGAGCTTCCAACGGTCAGACTTCTATAAGCACGAAATGGCTGAGTTCTGGGACAGTGGCTGGAAAATGTTCAAGCGTAAAGCTGAAGAGCTGTTCCCAGGCTTAGACCTCAGTAGTGTAGAAATTGACGAAAACGATGTGGTCCAGACCCCCCTGGATGAGGGTATTGAAGAAGAAGACCTCGATTCCAGTGAGGAGGAATGATTTGGAGTGAACAAAATTTGTACAAAGTTGTGTTTGTGTGTTTGTTTGTGTTTGTGTTTGTGTTTTTTTTTTTTGTTGAAATGCTGTAATGAACTTATGTACTAGTTGGTGAATAAATAAAATTTGAGTTGTGTTTTCAGTCCATTATTTTTGCTTGTGCATCTGAAATGTATAAATTATTGTGAACTGTAAAATGTAAGGGAAACTCATTGTAAAGTGAATTTTAACTTGTAAGAAAAAATTCAATGCAGAGTGAAAGTGAGAGAACTCAATGCAGAGTGAATTTTAACTTGTAAGAAAAATTCAATGCAGAGTGAAAGTGAGAAAACTCAATGCAGAGTGAATTTATACTTGTAAGAAAAATTCAACGCAGAGTGAGAGTGAGAGAACTCAATGCAGAGTGAATTTTAACTTGTAAGAAAAAATTCAATGTAGAGTGAAAGTGAGAAAACTCAATGCAGAGTGAAAGTGAGAGAACTAAATGCAGAGTGAATTTTAACTTGTAAAAAAAATTCAACGCAAAGTGAAAGTGAGAAAACATGGCCACTGTGCTTATGATCATGAAGTCGCAATGGCGACTTCGGCCTGGCTAGGGCTTTAAGTGACTTAATCTGGCCGAGCTCTTCATGCTCAGTCTGGCTGAGGCTTTTTGTGACTCGGTCTGGCCGAGCTCTTCATGCTCAGTCTGGCTGAGGATTTTTGTGACTCGGTCTGGTTGAGGCTTTTTGTGACTCGGTCTGGCCGAGCTCTTCATTATGCTCAGTTTGGCTGAGGTTTTTTGTGACTCGGTCTGGCCGAGCTCTTCATTATGCTCAGTCTGGTTGAGGCTTTTTGTGACTTGGTCTGGCTGAGGCTTTTTGTGACTCAGTCTGGCCGAGCTCTTCATTATGCTCAGTCTGGCTGAGGTTTTTTGTGACTCGGTCTGGCCAAGTTGTTCATGCTCAGTTTGGCTGAGGCTTTTTATGCTCAGTCTGGCTGAGGCTTTTTGTGACTCAGTTTGGCTGAGGCTTTTTGTGACTCGGTCTGGCCGGACTCTTCATGCTCAGTCTGGCTGAGGCTTTTTATGCTCAGTCTGGCTGAGGCTTTTTGTGACTTGGTCTGGCCGAGCTCTTCATGCTCAGTCTGGCTGAGGCTATAATCAAAGCGTTATTGGAATACCACAGATAATTGAGATATAAGCTTGCTGTTATACAAAGTGTAGCCCGTGGGGTCACAAATGTATACTATATGAGGAGAAAATGAGAACATAGATTGTCTAAAAGAAAATACAACATTTTGGACGATACAAAAATGTAACTTTTTATTGAAAATAGCACTTCAAATGTTCAGCGTTCCAAGGGTGGAGGAGGTCTCGACCTTCCATGTCCTGAAGTCGGTAAGTGCCCGATCGTGGTCTGGCTTTCACAACGTAAGGTCCCTCCCATTTGGCTACCAGTTTGCCTTCAGTCGGATTTTTGGTGGCAAGAGTTACTTCTCGCAAAACAAGGTCCCCTACGGCGAACTCCCTTAGTCGGACTCTGCGATTGTAATGTGTTCTCATTTTCTGTTGGTAGGAGGCCAGTTTGACGGCAGCGGTTTCTCTGAGTTCTTCGATTAGGTCAAGGTCAGCTCGACGGAGCTCCTCGGCTAGTTCTGGGTTCGGATGTAAAACCCTTGGGGTAGGCAGGCCGACTTCCACTAGGATGACCGCCTCAGCGCCGTATGTTAAGCGAAAGGGGGTCTCCCCAGTGCGAGTCCGAGAGGTAGTACAGTAAGCCCAGAGTACATTCGGTAATTCCTCAGCCCAAAGTCCTTTAGCAGCTTCTAGCTTAGTTTTGATGATCTTCAGAAGAGAACAGTTGGTAACCTCGACTTGGCCATTAGCTTGGGGATGACCTGGGGAGGAGAAACAGGGTTGGATCTGGAGGTCTGCACAGAACTTCCTGTACTTGGCGTTGTCGAATTGTTTGCCATTGTCGGAGACGATGGTTTGAGGGATGCCAAACCTGCATACAATCGACTGCCAGATGAATTTGGTTGTGTTCCATTCGGTGATGGTGGCAAGGGGTTTTGCCTCTACCCAGTTGGTGAAGTAATCAATGGCGATAATCACGAACTTGGCCTCGGCCGGTGGGAAGTGGTCCAACTAAGTCGATCTCCCATTTGGCGAACGGATAAGGACTGCAGAGTGTGATCAGCTCAGTAGGAGGAGCATGAGAGATGTTGGCAAAGCGTTGACATTTATCACATTTGAGTATGAAGTCGGTCGCATCTTGGTTAAGGGTAGGCCAGAAATGACCAGTGCGAAGTATTTTGTGGGCTAGAGACCGACTGCCTGAATGATTACCGCAGATACCCTCATGGATTTCTCGCATCACGTAGGTTGCTTGAGCTGGACTGAGGCATCGCAGATACGGGCGTGAAAAACCACGTTTGTACAAGACACCACTGACGAGGATGTAATTGGACGACCGGACCTTAACTTTGGCGGCATGCTGTTGGTCATTTAGAAGTTCCCCCGTTGTCAAAAATAGAAAGATGTCCGACGCCCAAGGGATGGGCTCATTCTGGAGGAACTGTACTTCTTGCTGATCGGGAGAAATGGCAGGGTAGGCTAGGTACTTGAGATGGACATCATGACTGAGGTCGGACTGGTCTGCAGAAGCCAACTGAGCCATCTCGTCTGCCTTTGAGTTTTCCGCCCAAGGAATGTGCTGGATGTGGAAAGTATTGAAGAGGTGAACAAGGAGAAGGGCAATATCCCTGTAAGCCCGCATTGTGTCCTCCTTTGCATCGAATTTTCCCGTAATTTGTCCGACAATGAGCTAGGAGTCGCTGAACACCCAGATGTGGCTGACACTAATGTCCCTGGCTAGGCGGAGCCCTGTTATCAATGCCTCATATTCAGCCTCATTGTTACTGGCATCGAACAAGAACCGGAGAGCACATTTGAAATAACCACCCTCAGGGGCGGTGAGGATGAGGCCAGCCCCACTGCCTTCTTTGCAGGATGATCCGTCGACATTGAGAGTCCAAGAATGAGGGTCCTCTGGCTCGGTAGGGGTTGGTGGGGGTGGAGTGGTCGTGGTTGGGGTAGGATTAGTGAACTCCAGGATGAGATCAGCGACAGCTTGCCCTTTAATTGCTGTTCGAGGTCGGTAGGAGATGTCAAACTGGCTGAGTTCCACCGACCATTGCATGAGTCTGCCAGAGAGCTCTGGTTCCTGCATTACCTTCTTCAAAGGTTGTTCGGTGAGGACCACTATGGAATGGGCTTGGAAGTAAGGACAGAGTCGTCTGGAGGCGGTCACCAAGGCCAAGGACAATTTTTCTAACAGTGGGTAATTCTGTTTGGCGCCCCTGAGGGCCCGACTGATGTAGTAGACCGGCCGTTGAACAGAGTCGTCTTCCCTGATAAGAGCTGCACTGACTGCGGTGCTTGAAACGACTAAGTAGAGGAAGAGGGGTTCGCTAGTGATTGCTTGAGAAATGAGGGGGGGTTGGCCATGCACTGCTTCAACTACTGAAAGGCCTCTTCGGACTCGGTCGTCCCTTCAAAAGTTTGCCAAAGAACTTTGAAGAAAGGGAGGCACTTATCCGTTGCACGGGAAATGAAGCGGTTGAGGGCGGCAACTCGACCAGTGAGGCTCTGAACTTCCTTAACGACTAAGTAGAGGAAGAGGGGTTCGCTAGTGATTGCTTGAGAAAGGAGAGGGGGTTGGCCATGCACTGCTTCAACTACTGAAAGGCCTCTTCGGACTCGGTCGTCCCTTCAAAAGTTTGCCAAAGAACTTTGAAGAAAGGGAGGCACTTATCCGTTGCACGGGAAATGAAGCGGTTGAGGGCGGGAACTCGACCAGTGAGGCTCTGAACTTCCTTAACCGTTCTGGGTGACTGCATTTCGATCAAGGCCTTGATCTTTTCAGGGTTAGCTTCAATGCCCCGCTGACTGACCATGAAACCCAAAAACTTCCCAGATCCTACGCCGAAGGCGCACTTCTCCGGGTTGAGCTTCATTTGGTACTTCCGTAGGGTTGCAAAGGTCTCTCGCAGGTCGGCCAGATGGTCAGCGGAGAGTTTGCTCTTGACTAGCATGTCATCGACATATACTTCCATGTTTCGACCGATCTGGTGATGGAAAACGGCATTGACCAACCGTTGGTAGGTGGCCCCAGCATTTTTCAGTCCAAATGGCATCACTTGGTAATGGTAGGTGCCTCGGTCAGTAATGAAAGAGGTGTGTTCTCGATCAGATGGATGCATCAGAATTTGGTTATACCTAGAGAAGGCATCCATGAAGCTGAGCATTTGGTGACCGACCGTGGCGTCGACCAGCAGATCTATGCGGGGAAGAGGATAACTGTCTTTGGGGCAAGCTCGGTTGAGGTCTGAGTAGTCGACATAGAGTCGCCATTTATCATTATTTTTACGAACCGGAACCACATTCGATGGCCATCTGGGGTAGTCCACATTTGTGATAAACTGTGCCTCAAGAAGCTTATTTACTTCAGAAGCAATAAGGTTATTGCGCTCTGGGTGAAAGATGCGTTGTTTCTGGCGGATGGGTCAGAAATGGGGCTCGATATTGAGACGGTAGGTGATGAAGAAGGGGTCAATACTGCTTCTGGCGGTAAGGTCGGAAATGGGGTTCAATGCTGAGGCGATAGGTTATGAATGAGGGATCAATGCCCGGCATGTCTGAGTGGGTCCAGGCGAATACATCGTTGTGCTCAATCAGAAGGACAGTAAGGTCGGCCTTTGCTTGAGGGGACAGTTGGCTGCCAATTTTGACGATTTTCGTCGGGTTGGTAGGGTCGAT